TTTTTTTTTTAGTTATCACAAACTTATTTTTCTCTGTTTTAATGTTTTAACATTTATTGTGGCTTCAGTCTGCTGGTGAAGAAAAAGAAATTAATTTTTCCTTACAATTAGTTTTCCTCAAGTGACCATCTACGGTGTTTTTAAACTATGTTTCTTTTAGTTAATTCTTTCAATTTAAAACAAAATTCCAACACAGAAGTGCTCATTTGGTGTGTATCAATTCATCTGTTTCTGTTGTTGATTGAGTAATGTCAAACCAACAGTTTGCTATTTAAGTTGAGTGTACAGAATCAGTCTTACATTTTTCAACATGTGAAAAACCTGTGTGATGGTGAACCTACTCACAAGAACTTTAAAATATTGTTTTCAGTCTGAAATATTGTGTCTGTAAAAGAAAACCCTTTTAATTCATCATATAAAAAGCAAAGTGGACCTTTATTTTTTTGAGTGGTGTTTACAGGCCATTCCATAGGGTTACCTATATCAGCATGATGTTCAGTACCCACAGTAATCTACTGTAAATGTGATGTACTAATCTCTCAAGAAGACTGGTATCAGGTCTATGTGACTTCTTTATCTTTGACTCACCACCTTAGTGTACAACATTCAAAACTGCATGGTTACAATGCAGCCAGTAACTCTAAATAAATTAGAAACACATACAGTTCAAAATATACATAGAATTAAAGTAAAAAGTTTTCCTTATTTATTTTGTACTTTTTGAAGTAAATCTAATAGCAAATATATTACATTTTCTTAACCTACTAAAATATTATATCCATGACTAAATACTCAAAACTGCTTAGAAACTAAAACACAAGGTGGAATTTGTTACTGAAAGTTAAAAAAATATTTACCCGAGTCTTTGAGTTTTTTTTGTCATTGCCTCTCAGGTGAGAGAGCTCCTAAAATACTTAAAAATGATCCCTATAAATATTTTAAATTCCTTTCTCTTTAGAGATTTTCTTCCTGTTCTGAGTACCAGAGGAGTTAGCATTTAACAAACTTCTTAACTGTTTTTAACACTGTCAACAAACTGTACATTAAAAGTCAAATATCTATCTATATGATTACTGTTTTCATAACAGCCACCAAGGAACCAAGTAAGCTGTTTAATGATAATACCAATGATCCTTCACTACCACCTAAATTAGTTATTATTTACACCTATAATAAAACAAACAGGTTCTTGAACTTAAAAACTAACAAATTTCTGAGTGTAAGAAATAACTTTAGAAATAATGTTTATCTTTCCCTTATACAATTTATAATGATTCAGGTAAATACTATTATCAGATTAATTAAGAAGAAACGTGACTTGTACAGTTGCTTGGGTGACTTGAACAAACCAGTAGTGGACAGTGACATTATCTTTGCTTCATTTATTATCTGTTCAAAAATTCCAGTTTGCCAGAACAATTCCTTTAGTTTATTCTTTTAACAAAGATATACATTTAAATGTCGAAATTATAACACCATTCAATCAACTTTTACTACCTTTATAGGTTATCTCTGCAATTTGGACCCTCTTATCAGGCAGTTGTCACCTTTGTATCATTCATGAGTACACTGGCTAAACTATCTATAAAAGCAGTATGGCAACTTATTGGCAGTTTCTTAAAAACAATGGTATAAACAGTTGCTTGCATCACTTACCCCCTTTGATTGGCTTTGTCTCTGATATGTTGTTTCAAGCTTTAGAAAATATTTCCTTTAAGTTCATCATTTGCAATTTAAACTAAAATACTTCATTTCCATTAAATAGTGGAAGTTAAATTTTATCAGTGGAGTAATGAATATTTTTGTTGAAAAACAAGTCGTAACTTTTGTCAGAAAAAGTTAACATAGTTTGCATAAAGGCTTAGCAATGCTTCAGATTTTACATTTATCTTAATTTTTCCTTTTGCAGTCACCTTTGGATACCCAAAATCCAAACCCTTCTTCTGCCCTTGAAGCATTAAATCTGTCTGAAAAGCTATCAAAAAATAAATCATCCTTCTCTTCTAACAAACTGGAAGATGATTTTAAAACAAAGTGTAATGTTCCTTGTCCCTGCTCTAAAAAAGATGAACCTTGTGAAAGAACAAACACAGAATTATTAAGGTATGTGAAATCTACCCATTTATAGGAATATATATATGAAAAAATAGTACATATACAAACAGTATTTGTAGTTTACAATTTTCTTTGTTTTACTTTGGGCACTTGTATCTTTCTTGGGTAGAATAAATGTATTTTGTATACATTTGTAGTCTCTGCATCAGAATTTAATTTAGTTTTTAAAAATACTTTTTAAGTATATTTCATATTTCTGAAATGTAATTATAGGATAAAGTTACAAAGATGTAAAATTACTTCAGGTTCCAATATCTTGAACATATTTTTACATAAAATTATACATTGTACTTTGACTCAAGTTCTTTGGTGTACAAAAAGTTTTTTTTTCCCCTTATAGTGATTATCTGCCTGAATACTTATGTTACGGGTGCAGGTTAATAATAAAAGACATGGTAAGATAATTTGTTCACAGCTTTTATGAAATTTTACTAGATAAAAAGGATGGTTGTATTAGATTATGTAGTGAGTTGGTCTAAAAAGATATTTAGATACTAATTAAATAGGATATTTTCAATGTTATGAGATTGTTAGTTCAATGTAATATAAAATTAAAGGTATAATAAATAAACAGATTTTCTCTATTTTAAAACACATGGAAATCAACCTCATATAGCATGTATATTTTCACATACATAAAAAAGTATGCTTTATAATAGTTGTTTGCATCTTCAGAATTTTAGCTTTCTGTCATTATTTCTGGTGTGCATTATGTCAATGATAAAATGGGATTATGGAAAATGTTCCAAATAATACTGTAACAAATAAAATTCTTATGAACCTATTTCAAATTAATATAAAAATCTTGTTTCATATTTTGATGACAGTATTTTAAGTGCTTTGTTCAAGATGGCATACTTTATTGATCAACATAAGCCACATCTAAGAAAATTCTCTGTGGCTCATTTTGTGTAAAAATGATTGTTGTTGTGACATTTAAAGCCTGTAAGTTCTGAATAATATATCCTGAAGGTTTCTAAAAAAAGCTGTAGTTGTGTATTTGAACATTTCTTCAGTAGCATTTTCTGTTACTGTATTGTATGTGATATATTTCCATTTGATTGCTGGAATTACATTGATTTAAAATGCTAAATTTTGAGATTTTCTAATCACGTACATAACTGAAACTGCTTTGTTTGAATGAGCATGTATTAGATATTTTCCATTATTTGAACATTAATATAATTACCTTAAAAATAAGAACAATCCAGGCTTTTTAGATGTACTCAAGAGATGATCTGTAAATTTTTGTACCCCCCCCCCTTTTATTTTCTTTGAATTTTTTATTTCTTAACCCAGTACTTTGAGTTAGTGAATTGTATTAGTAAGCTTGTGTATTGAAAATTTGAAGTTGCATATAAATTCTTAACTTGATTTGGGTCTTTCAGAAAAAAAATAGGACTAAAAAATGTAAAATCTTTGTTAGAGTAACCATCTTTTTATATAAAATTACAATATGATCCATTTTGGTGTTCTTCTTTACATGCTTATCATGATGAAAGGATCAAACTGACAAAGGTCACTAGTTTGTCATGAAGATATGTGTAGGTCCCTGTTTATATGCTATTGAAATGTTTATCAAGCACAAAAAATAATTGACACAGTTTATTGATAAAGTAACATTTATGTAGTACTCATAATTATATATTATTTTCCTTTATCCAGTCTGATGTTTCTTTATTGCCTTCACACCTCTTGTATGAAGCCCAGAAAGCAAAGCACAGGTTAGTAAAGCAAGTAAATCAGTATTAACCCTTTCCACACGGGTCAAAGGCCATGTCATTGTGTTTGTTGACTTGCATTCAAAATTTTATTGAACTACTGTTTTTTAAATTTATGTCAATAAGTTTGGTTTCAAACTGTAGATTATAATTTAAATCTTAGTATTATACATAATTTAATTTCTTAGTTTAAAAGTAAATATATAAAAAACAAACACACACCTAAACATCGATTTTTGTGTGTCACGTGGTATGTTGAATGCAGCACTGGTTCAAATTAGGTGTTTGTGATGTTTAGCTACACAGTTTATATTTTCATACAAGTTAGGAACTCAAATTACCGATATATTGACAAGCTAGAATATAAAATAGGAAACTCCTATCTTTTTTATTTGCTGAGATATTGCTCATGCACTGAATCAAGCACAGTGGCCCTGCTAACCTCATTTTTGTAAGTGCTCCTTTATTTTACACTTCTTTTTGTGACATGAATAACCAATTGAAAGCACAGAATGTCCCCCTAGTGCCATTTTTACACCATTTTCAAGTATTACGACTTCATCTTGTTCTTTTGATACAAAACTTCAAGGTGGTAGATTGAGTCTTTAGTCTGCTCAAAATTTCATATTTTTTAGACCCAAATACAGCTTAGTTACTGAGCTTGATAAATTATATGAATTCTAGAGTATCAATATAGTAATTTATGATTTTGATTATTCCAAATATATATACATAAAACCTAAAAAAAATTATTTCGTTTCACATCCTCAATTTGCAAAATTTTATAAGGCTTAGCAACCTATGACAAGCAGCAAACAAGTTCAAAGGTCATAATTAAAGAGATAATTGTTTGCTTTACTTCTTTATTTACTGTTCTGTGTTTAAGAAAAATAAGTTTAACAATTTATTTCTAAATAGTAAACATGTATGTACATATATAATGTATAATAATTGAAATGTGACTATCTTACAAAATACTAGTCCACTAAAACACAGCCAAGACAGCTTAAAGGTCAATATAATAAAAATAATAAATATATTATATATGTATAATGTTAAGGGATTTAAGCTATTAAGTCTAAACGTTTGTGTTTTCATGTTATAATTTGTAGTAATTTTAGAACAAAAAAGCCATAATTTATATTTATTTCCAAATTTTTTATGGTTATTATGAGATCAGTCAAATTGACCGAACCTGTACAGAGATTCGTAAGTGAAAATAACAGATAAGATATAAAGTTTTTCTTAAGACACATTTGATAACTATCTGGATATTATAAAGATTTTGCATGTGAGATTTGGAACTTTTCTGATGCATAAAAGTATTTTTAATCTTGAAATGAAAATTACCTTGCATGTTGGATAGGCAACGTGCGAAAAGAAAAACGGCATGAGCAAAACATTGCTTAACAAACCTTAAGACTAAAAAAATCTGATATTTTGGATATGAAAGCCTTTTAATGTTTACCAATAATTTTCCAAATTTTGTGAACATGTGCATACTAATTTAAAAGTTATAGCATGAAAACTATAACAAGCACAAAATGGTTACAAGGCTGGTCCAAGAGACCGAGCCCGTGCTGAAAGAGTTAATGCAATTTTTTTCTTTTTCACTATCTTAGACTTAAAGATATTAGCCTGGAATACTGAATTCACAACACATTTGAAAAAGTATTGGAATTGGCAGAAACCTTAAGAAAATAATATGAGCACATCAGCTAGCATATTTTAATAATTAACTTTCTGAACCAATAAAACATGTCTGTTAAATTATATCTAGACTGTGTTTCATACAATATACAAAAAGTTCTTAAAATATGTAATTATTACAATATGAAATCAGTTTTTAGAAAAAAAAATATTTTTTCATCAGTGTCTCAAGTTCAGTGTAAAAACTAATAGTATGTTGATGTGTATAGCTGATATTGATCTTTTGTACCTAATTATAAAATAATTATCTAACTGTAATCACTTAATTATTCAGTAGACAACTCCAGTCATTGTTCATTTCTGTAAATATTTTAATGTAAGACATTTATGACATCTTAATAGTAATCATGCAAAGTTTTTTTCAGAGCAAAAATGAAGGAAGATATTCAAGGTTTCCTCTTGGAAGGAAATGATGACATGTAGCAGAAATCCATATCTCACTTACTTTTATTTGTTTAATTTTAAGTGTATTTATGTAAATGATAAAAAAATAAACTTTTTATAACAATGATGTTAAACAAATCTTTTATATTACATCTTTTAAGACATAACACTTATGTCTCGAGTAATGTCCTTCATTGCTACTTACAAAACAAATAAATGTTATCAAAGTGTTTCTCAAAAACCATTTGGCGTAAAGTGCTGATATACTAATATTTTTTGTTGCTCATCAAGGTTTTCTGTATATCTATGTATTTGGTTTCTATAAGGTTTTCAACAAGACTAAAACAGTGTTAGTGCTTCAGCATATAGCTAAAATTTACATATACTTTTATTAATTTCAATGTCAGATTCTTAAAGAGGTTTAGCATTATGTATTATTGTTCAATTAATTCTCAAATTGTTGAACTTGGAAATTTCATAGATCTTGTCATTTTGAAAATAAAAAAAAAAGATTAAAACTAAACCCTATTTATACTGTATTTGTCTGACATAGAAAAGTTGGTTCATATCTGATATTCAATACTAACTTCAAAAAAGTAAATTGGGTTTTTCAAGGTTTCTTGTTGTTGGGCTTTTTCTCTACTAAGGCAAGTAAGCAAAATAAAATTGTTTTCATCATCAATAAAATATTGAAGTTGTGCCTCTCATATGGAAATATTACTTATCTTACTCACCTGTAGTATGTACCTCTCATTTACGAAATTTTAAATTTCTCTTAAGTTCTGGTCTTGAGGTTGTATGCCTAATTCATCCTAAGGTGTTACTTTTTGTGTTCTGTAGCATATTTGGTCAAGGAAATTACCTGATGTTTCACCCCACCCCCCAGTGGCACAGCAGTATGTCTGTGGACTTACAACACTAGAATCTAGGTTCCAATACCCATGGTAGGCAGAGCACAGACAGCCCAGTGTGTTGCTTTGTGTTCAACTTCAAACAAACTTAATGTTTCATGGAATAGTTGCATTGTCTTCTGCTTTACCTTTTATAGAGAAGTGTTTTGCAACTGTCACATGGGCAGAAATACTCCAGTTTTCTGATTGGTCAGCCACAGAGAGAAAGAGTTTTGGCAGTCACAGATAGATTATATTCGATCTATAAGGAGAGCAGACTCTTATCCAAGAAGGACGTGGCTCCCTCATGAAATTCTGTCTTTGTCTTACTCTGTGTCTCTACTGCTTTTGCCACTGATTGTGGGTATTTATCCAGATTAGTTTAATTATTTGTCTGTGAAAGTTTAAACTGTTTGAATATTTAAATTAAATTGCCTAAGCATTACTACAAGAAAATAGATTTTGCAAATTTATTTCTTAAACCTCTTCAGTTTTGATCACAATATTCAATGTTTTTTGTATGCAGATACAAGAAATTACATTATTCTAGCATACCAAGAAGACAATGTTGTAGTTTTAGGACAACAAAACTTTATTATGAAAACTTAGAATCTTTTTAGATGAAGTAGAACAAAAGGAAAATATTTTCTTCGAAATTTGAAAGAAAAACAAAATAAGAAATATTAGATCAAATATTCTATTTAGAAAATGTTTGTCAAATATAATGCTAATAGATTTAGTAATTTTAGAGAAATACTATTTTTTGTGGCATTGTAAAAATTTAATCAATATAACTCAATCAAGATTGATAGTTAAGTTATCTGTACCTTTAAAAAAATAACTAATCTCCTTTGAAATAAAATATAATTGTTTCTATTTCCATTTTTCATAACTCATCCAATCATTTGTCTCAAATTTTTTCTTTTAATTGCGATCTTACAACTATTTTTCTACTAATCGAATATTAATTGATTACAGTGACAGATTGAATGTCCTTACAGCCTAGTTATGTCATGCAATGGCCTTTTTTTTTAATGTAGATATTTTAACTTTGTTAATTGTGACAATTGATATGGCTTAATAAGTATCAAGTTAAACTTAACTTCAATATCATTATTATTAAAATACATTTCAATCTTGTGTATGTATTCTTTAATTTTGTGAAAAAATTTATGTCATTAATATTTTCTTGATTTTGAGAATTTAAGATACAAATTTTTAAACTGATTTGAGTATTTTTTATATTAGTTTGATTTCTTTTCTTAACTAACTATGAAATTTTTGGACACTGTTTCATAGTCTATAGTATACTTTCTTTAATAGGAATATTCCCTATTGTTATTAACCAAGTGTTTGTGTTTTGGCTGAAACTGATAATTAATCTCAATTTCATCAATATGAAAATCACCAAGGCTTAAGTACCAAAGATATACCAGACCTACAAATAAAACACATAGAAATAATATTCATATGTTGCATGAATTCTGTTTCCTAGATCTTATTGAATATGACTTCCCATAACCACATTTCTCAAACCTTAGAAGATCCAGGCTCTCCTCTGAAGGAGTTATTTTCTTTAAATTGTGACTAGAGTTGCTCTGACAATTAACAGTTTTACCACTATTTTATATCCTGTGGTTGGTTCTGCCCAACATTCTTCCTTATAGACGTAAGACTCATGACTTCCTACTTGTCTTTTATACCTGAAAAAGATCAGGTAACATCTATCTTTGACCACTATATGAACACTTAGCATCTGGCTCTAACCTTGGAGGCAATTTTGGTATTTGGCCTCCTTTTCTGCATCAGTTTTCTCGAGATGTGGGCAGTGCAATTGGTCTGCCACCATTCATTGTTACAGCTGTTTAATAAACACCCACTTTTGTTCTACTTTGACAACTTACTTCTTTCAATAACCAAAAGGGAAGTAATCATTTTCAGGACTTCTGCTTTCTTATTCTTGAGCTCCTCTTATGGGCTCATGACAACAACATCCAGTTGTTGGCCTTCCATGTTTTGGTAGCTTTGAATTTAGTGGTGGATTGGCTGTCTCATCTGAAATGAATCCTTCCAGCAATGATTCTTACATCATTTGGTATTTTTGTGGATTTCTTTTCACTTTGGGAGTCTTATTATCGATGCATTTGCAACTTCCCTATACATCAAGATTCCACGTCTTTGATCACCAGTCCTAGACTCCATTACTCTGGGATATATATAATCTGCATCTGGATCAATATACCGTCTTCCTCTATACTTATCCCCCCTTTTTTACTTTTTACAGGTTGCTGTCTTGCATCCCTTGCCCCCGGCCATTCTCACTTACCCCTCTTTGGACAGTTCTTAATGTTTCTGCTCCCTCCCTTCTTAGCAACACTGAAGTCTCTATCTCTTCCATTTTGGAGGTCCCCTTTTTATGTCAGCCTTGAACATCCATTCTTCATCACAGTGTTCCATGTCTTCATCTTCACATGTGACTTTGTCTGGTCCCTTGCAAAATGAGCAGGTTTTTCTCATAGAGCAGCCCATTTTCTTGCTTGCTCTGGTTGGCCATCATCCCTTGCAATTTATCACCACAAATGGATAGTTTATCAGTGCTGGTCCATTGACCACACCATTACTCACTGGCTCTTCCTCATCTTACTTAATTTCTTACTTTACTTTTCAAGGATAATCTATCCATTTCTCAAGTCACTGATTACACAATAGTCTTCTTGTTGACATTCCATATTTTCCCTGACTGTTCTTTGGTTCTTATAAGACGTGTTCTGAGCCTTTTCATCAGTTGTCCTCCTTATCTGGTTCCTCTTCCAGACTTGAACCTTTATTTAGCTCTCAGGTCTTGTAGGTGACCTCCATTCGAACCTTTGGCCACCTCTTTATTGTACCATCATTCTCTTAAGACATACTTTTTCCCCTTCTTACTTGTTGTAGATTTCACTTCGATATGTTTGCTTTGGCTGACTCCTGCGCTCTTTACTACAGGTACATATTGATTTTTATTTCTAGACTTATTTTTCCTCCCCAATCTCTGTAACATCATTCAGACTCCAATATACCCTTTACCTATTTGGGTAGTTTGTTTTTATCTTATTCACATTGCTGCTTTTTGAGCCAGTCGACTTTTTTCTTTTTTTTTTGTCATGAAAATTATTTTATTATGACTAGTGTTATATGGTTAGTGTTGCCTCGTATGGAATACTTCTTTCTTTTGCTTATTGTCCACTGTTAACTCTATCTAAGCCACTGGGTAGTTCTTATGGTCGAAAAGGTATCGAGGGTATGCTTGCGTATTAAAATTCACAGTTTAAATAAGAATAGTAATTTTAACTCTATTTCGACTAATATTTGACTCTAAAATATCCAAGAATTGATGTCTTTTAACGTTACGAAATTTATATAATGTAATTTTCAAAGAAAAATAAAAATAAATGCTTGAGCTTTGATATCTGTGCAGTTCCAATGAGTATAGTCTGTAAACAAAGCTTTTACACACTTTCTTATTTTTCTGCCAATCCCAAAGTAAAGGTTATAGTTTTCTAGACTTTGGCATCCCTTACGAATAGACTGATTTAAGACTTTGTTTCTCATGTGACTTCCTTTCTGGCTATCGATGATTTTCAAGAAAGATACGTTGAGAAGTTTTTATGATATAACAAGTAGGTTGGATAGTAACTAAAAAATCTTGGCCTCGAAACAAGATAGAACCAATGATTAAAGATGATTGGATAGAAAACCATGTTTATCTATGTCATTGTAAAGTAAGTAACACTTCCGTAAGAAGTAATGTATAATTAATTTCTAAGAAAAGATGAGTAGCGGAAATTCTCAAAGTGGAGATCAAAGGATTCTAATAAGAAGTTTATAAAACTTAAGAACAAGACTGTGGTTTCGTTTGTGATAATAATTTTATTTATGTTTTAAAGCCACAGCATAAGATAAGGGTTTTTGGGAGTTGGAGTTTTATGACAACAAACTATTAAGATGACAGAAACGTGGCGCACCAGTAGCACAGTGGTATGTCTGCGGACTTATACCGCTAGAAACCGGGTTTCGATACCCGTGGTGGGCAGAGCACAGATAGCCCAGCTTTGTGCTTAATAATAAACAACAACGACAGAAACGTTTATTTATTTGTGTATTGGTAAATTTATTATTACTCAACGCATAAAAGTACAAGATCTCCTTAGTTACTGTAAAGAAACTAACTATTAGATAGAAATTGAGTTCGACCAAA